GTCTCTCGGGAGAGGGCCTGACCCAGGGTCCGGAGACCCCGCACAAGGAGGGCCAGCCAGGACCCGCCTGCCGACCAGCTCCACAGGCCTTGAGCCCTGGAGGGGGGCTGGTGACGTTTCACAACCCAAGGAGCAGCAACAGCAGCCGAGGAGCACCCCGCCCCCGCGCGCCACCCCCAGCTCCGGCCGACGTGCAGTGCAGGGAGCCCCGCCCAGCTACCCCGCGCGTTCCTTCACTGAACCTCCCTGATAGGCTCCATTTTTCAGATAAGGGAACTCAAGCAGACAGAAGGCTGGTAACTTCCCCAAAGCTGAGCTGGGACTGCAGAGCCGGACTCTATTTTTGCAGGGAGGGGGAGGTTGTGGGGTAAATTAGGTTTATTTATGTGCTATTTTTGATATATATTTATTTAATGGAGGTCCTGGGGATTGAACCAGGATCTCCTGCCTGCTGAGCACGCGCTCTACCACACTGAGATGTGCGCCCTGAACAGCAGGTGAGCTCTGGAGAAGAGAAGTGGGAGTTGGCCTCAGGGAGGCTCAGAGTAAGACAGCCAGGCTGCCTCTCCCATCCCCCACAGCACAAGGGTTTCAAAGTCAAGGCCACACCCGCTAGAGCAGAGGGACGGTCCCAAGGACCCTGTCAGGAGAGGAGGTGCAGGACAGAGGACTGGAGACCTCAGTGTCAGTCTGTCCTGTCCTGCTTCTCCAAGGAGGTGCTGAGGCCCTGGAGGTGGGGCCCCATGGGAACTTGGTGGTGGCTGGAAAGTTCTGGTGTCCATGTCTGAACTCGATGTCCCTCTCTCCAGTGGCAGGTGAAGAAGGGGCTGGTGCACAGACCCAGCTGCTGGCTGGGCAGGTGAGGGGGGTGCAGGGAGCCCTCCCGCCCTCCCCAAGCGCTTTGACCCTGGGAACACACCGGGCTGACCCTCGCTGCCCGGACCTTGCCGTGCTGTGTCCCCTCCCCGACCCTCCTGACTCTCTGGGGCCTGGTGTAGATACCCATTCCTCCAGAAAGCCCTGCCAAGGCCAGGCAGGTGCCCCTGGTCTGTGCTGCCCCAGCCCTGTGCACCCCGCTGACACATGGAGCTGGAACCTCCTGTCGCTGCCTCTCTCCCGCAGGGCTGCCAGCTCTGTGTCTAATCATAGCCCTGCCCTGCACGGCGCCCAGCATATACTGGGTGCATAGGAGACATCGAAAGAATGAGTGAATGAATGTATAAGAAATGAGGCCCAGGCCCCAGGACAAGCCCCTCCCAGGTGCCCAGAATAGTATCTTCCTCATCCTGGTGTACCAGCATCTGCCATGGTGCTTGGCACATGGCACAGGTAAAAGGGACAGGTAACTGACTGCCGTGCGACAGGAGGTGGTGCGACTGTGACAGCAGTTACAGCAGGTCCAGGGTGTGCAGGCCAGGGGAAGCAAACTTGCTCTGCCTGGAGGAGTGTGGGAGCCCCCCACCCCACATAGGTGCTTGGGAGGAGGCCTCCCAGGCAGAGGGAGCAGTCCAAGTGGGTGTGAGGTGCACGGGGTAGGGGGGTCCAGAGAACAGATGCCCTCCAGCCCAGGGCCGCCTCATCTTCTGCCAGCCGGGACCCGTGCCCCAAGGCCTTCTCTGCAGCTCCAGGACCCTGAGGCCCTGGTTTGTGGCTCAAGCCCAAGAGGACCAGGGGAGGGTGAGGGGAGGGAACTGAGGCACCCAGAGGAGCCCACGACTCTGGCGCTGATGAAACCATCCTTCCATCCTCCCTCGAGGCTCCCTGGCCCTCAGACACCTGCTCTTTGCACCCAGCCTGGAGGAAGAAAGCAGGTCGTCCACAGAGGCCTCATTGTTCCCGGGGTGACTCACATGGCCTGGGTGCTGTGAGGTGCCCAGCAGGGGCTCCCATCACAGCCTCGGCTCTGAGGCCCAGGCTGGAGAGAGCGCAGGCATCCCCTGGCCAGGCCCCTCCCAACTCAGAGCGGGCCAAAGCCCCTTGGAGACTCAACCCTGAGTCTCCCTCAGAAGACAAGAGACAGAGGTGACTTCAGTGTGTGGGGGGGCCTTTATTCCGGGCTGGGGTGGGCGTGTGGGGGTCAGCGTGAGTGCGGCGTCCAGCTGGGCAGCTCCTGGGCTGCAGGGGGCAGTTGGCCCGGGGGGGTGCTCGGGGGCCCCCAGGAGCAGGGGGCGTGCAGGGCAGGGACATGGCCAGGGAGGAGGGCCTGGGGGAAGGAGGCCGGGCCTCTACTTCCAGCGCCCGGTGACCTTGGCCTTCCCGCGGGTCTTGGAGCTGCAAGAGAAGCAGGCCCTGTGAGGCAGAGCACGGCAGGGCAGCGGCTCTCCACGGGGGTC